GCAGCATCAGCAAACATACTTCTCACAATGTGGCGAGGCCGTGAACTGGTCCAGCCACGACACCAGCGGCGCAGCCGTGCCGCCCATCTGTCCGGGAGCGAGGGAGGGAAGCCTCGCGCACCACGCGGATGGTGAGGATGGCCGACTCGGAGTTCATCTGGCTGGTCATCATCGGGGGCACCGGGGTGCCAGCAGAGGCGCTGCTATCGGAGGACATGACGGCGAGGGATCTTCTGGCCGGGGAGGCGAACGGGGGAGGGGCAGGAAGAGCGCGCGGGCAGACCGGCGAGCGGAAGGGGGGGGGGCCGAAAGGAAAGGGGGGGGGGGGGGGGGGGGGACTGATGCGTCAGGACCGCATGTCAAGGCCATCACAGGGCGGGGAGGGAGAGCGGCCGAGGGGGCAGCGCACTGGAGGCCTATCGTCGATCGAGTGGCGTCGCCCTCCCAGTCGGGCAGAATGGCTGCTGCCTTGACAATCCGGACGATCTCCTCCAGGCATTTGTGGAAATTGGTTGCCTGGAAGTAGCCGTGGTTCGAAAAGACCACCAGCTCGAAGGACCCATTGACCCGGAGGGGCTCCTGGGCCGAGCGTCGGAGCAGCAAGGGCAGCAAGGACCGGTGAGCGCCAGGGGCAAGGGCCGGCAGATGGCGAAGAGGGCCGGCCGGGGGAACGCACCATACGCCGGATGTTGTGGGCCACGTACTTTGGCAGCCAGGCGACCTTGTCGAGAGGGAGGCGCACTTCGACATTGCTGTTGGCTGCCCGAGGGAGGGCGGCCGGGGGTTGCCGGGAAACAACGCCATGAGAGCGAGGGGCGGCGGAAAAAGGGCGATGAGGGAAGAAGGCAGCGCCAGCAGCAGGTGCCCGCGTTTAGTGGGCGATGTGCCAGCGAGAGAGAGAGAGAGGGGGGGGGAAGGAAAAAAAGAGGGAGGGGAGGAAAGGAAGCAAGAACGGCCTCGCGCACGAGGGAACACATACCCTTGTGGACAGCGCGACCGCCGGGGCCAAAGCCCGGGTAGGGGCGCCCTGTCCGCGGGACGAGGAGCGACTCGCCCGGGGCCAGCCTCCGCCCATACACGCCGGTGTATTGGCGAGGGGCGTGTTCATTTGGCTGGCCAAAGGGCAAGTATCGGATGATGAGGTCCGCTGGCGTATGGGCAACAGTCGACATGTCAAAGAGCGAACCCCCTCGCGCGGAGGGCCAGGTCGGCGGACGGTGCGGTCGGCATGCGCAAGGGGGGATCCATACCCTTTGGGATGGAGAATGTGGTGAACCCGCGCATGAGGAAGGCGCGAACCGCCTGGATTTCCTCCGCGGACCAGGCGGCCGCAAATGCCCGCAGCTGCCCATCACCTACGGGGAGGGCATCCAAGGGATGGCGGAAACGCCCGGCATGCTGGGGGACCGATGTGGAGGCAGCTCGGTCGGCTGAGGACATGCTGCATGCGTGGTGAGGCACATGCGCGAGGGACATGTGGGCCGGGGCGGTGGCGGAATCAAGGGACCGATTGGGGGAAGCAGGCCGGGGAGACGGCCAGCAGCAGAGGGGGACAGAAGGACCGGGGGAGGGGGAGGGGGGGAGGAAGAGCAGCGCGGGCTGGCAGGCGGTGACGCGCGCTGCAATCCACACGGAAGCGCGATCCCCGCCCTTTTTCCTCGCTCCTCCCTGGGAGGTGTCGGTGTGGTTGCGCAAACGCACCAACACGGGAGAGGCCCACGGGAAGTGAGCCCATCGCGGGGCAGCCGGATATAGATAGGAGCCCCCTTGCTCCGTTCCCCCCCCCGCAGCCCCGCCCCGATGGATCAACTGAAACACCCCCCTTCAGACACTGGTCGGCCTGGGGGCATGGAGCGTGCCGCCCAGGGCCCGGCCCCGAGGGTTGGCATGTGGCGAGCGAGGGGGCCGGAGGGTGTCACAGGCGTCGGAGACGCGGGCGGAGGCGCGCGCGCGCGCGCGCGCGTGCACGCAGGTGTGGGTCGCACAAACAGGGCGTGTGAACTTCGCCTGCCCCCCCTCCAGGGGGGGGCAGGTGTGTTTGTGTATTTTTCCGGCGAGGGAGGGCGAGGCGGTGCGGGGGGGGGGGTGACGCAAGAGCGGCCGGGGCCCGGCGAACCGCCAGCGCGAATGCATCAAACGGACGCCCGGGAGCCCCCTACCTGAAGCCGGTTGGCACATAATCCTCGGGCAGGGCGACCGCGCCGAGGATCAGCCGATCGATCTGTCCCAGGCAGTCCTCCAAGTTGGCCTCCCGGAGAGGGGCCTCCGACGCGCGAACCACGAGCTCACCGGCCTCGTTGATCCGGTGGGATTCCTACACGGAGGTGAGACGCCCGATGGTGAGTGATCGCCAGACACATCGGCGAGGGGGCCGAGCAGAGTGGGGCCGCGGGAGGAGGGGCGGACAGCCAGAGGCGTACCATGCGCCGGAGGTTGCAGGCGGCATACCGCGGAAGCCAGAACACATCCGGCAGAGGGATGCGCACTTCGACAACGACGTGGTCTGGGTGCCGGGGGCAACGAAGCCGCACACATGCACATACACACATGTTAGGACATGTGGTGGCGCCGGGTGCACATGCCCCAGTAGAGGGGCACATGCCCGCCAGTGTATGTATGCATGTGCTCATGTGCATGTGTGTGTGTGTGTGTGTGAACGCACCTTCCGGGATGTCCTCGTCGTTTGGGCCGAAGAAAGGGGCATCCGGGGAGGCATCCCCGCCGGGTGGCATGTAGCGGATGTCCAGGAAGCCTTTTTGGAGGGGGGGGGGGGGGGGACGGGAGGTCAGGACCGGGGATGCGGGCGGGGCATGCTGCTGAAACCAGCACAGGGCCAGTGGCGTACACCGAAAATCAATGCGCGCATCGAAGCCCAGAGACCGGAAGGAGTGGGCGAAGGCCAGCTCGTCTTGGTCCCAAGCGGCGGCAAACTCGGACAGGGGAACATCCGGCCCCAGGGTGGTGGGGTCAACGCTGCCGCTCAGGGAGAAAGCCGGCAACGAGAAGTCCGGCGGTGAAGGCATCGTGGCACCCGGGCAGAGGGGACCAGGGATGTGGCGCGAACGGGGTGGAGGGGGCGCAGGGGGATGAACACAAGCAGAAGTTGCAGGGGGGGGGGGCCGGTGACCGATTGACCAACATCCCGAGCAGCACTTGGCGGCCTTTTCCCCGCTGCACATGGCAACCCGCGGGCCTGCCCGCGGCAGGTCCCTTTCCCCGCGGAGGATCACCCCCAAGGCCGGGCGGGGACTTGCGCAATGTGGCCCCTTCCCCAGTCAATGGGCACTTGCCCATGTGTCTCGCCCTCAGCAGCGCATGGATGCGCGAAGGGCCGACAGGCACCGCGGAGGCCCGGCACATCTGCCCCTCCCCTGCCCGGGCCGGGGAGTGGGTCGGTCTGCCGGCTGACCGGCATCCGGTCTGGGATGCACTCCGGGCGTGCCCCACCTCCGGCCCGGGGAATTTCCCTACCCCCGGTCTGCTGGCCTGGTTGTCCGTATATTCGGGGCCCTTGTCTTCTCCTTCTGGCCGGGGCTGAATCCACAATGTGCCCGCTGCTTCTCGCCATCTCCGGGGACAGACTCTTGGCCCCTCTGCCATGTTGGACGTTGTGCTCATACATGCATGCATGCATGCATGTATGCACACATACGCGCGCCCTGCAGGTGATGCCTTTGCTCCTCGGGGCGCTGACAGGCTGACCAGAGCGATGGGGCCTGTGTGCACTCGGAGTGGGCACGAAGAAGGGGCACAAGCAAAAAGAAAAAAAAACACAGGCCCAGACTAGTCCCGGGGTAGACGCCGGGCCTCCATGATTCCGGCGCGCCGGCGCTTTTGGCGGTGTCGGCGCTCCTTGAATGCGGCGGCGCTGCCGCCAAAGGGGCAATCGATGGGCAAGATGTCAGCTGTGTGCCGGGCAGTGTGTGTGTGTGTGTGGCAGATGGGGAAACCGCCAGCAGGCAGCGCGAGAGGGGCGCGCACAGGGCCACGATCCTATCGTGTCGGGAGTGGGGCTCCAAATCGGGCAGGATGCTGGCCCGGTCGAGGGCGGCCAAAAGCTGGCGGATGCAGATGTCGAGATTGATCCTCTGCGAGCAGGAGGCGCCCGACTGGATGACGAGCTCCCCGAGGGCATTCACTCGCCGGCGCTCCTGGAGCGCATGCAAACCCACGTCAGATTGCGAAGGGACCATGGCCACCTGCGAGGCCATTGGAGCAAGGAAAATGAGCATCCATGGGCGCGAGGGAGCATACAATGCGCTTGAGGTTTTCGCGAATATATCGGGGGATCCAGCGCGCCTCAGTCAGGTTGAGGCACAACCCTGCCTTGGTGAAGTCTGGCCAGCCGAACCGGGCGCAGAGGTGAGTACAAGCCAGGGGGGGGGGAGGGGGGGGCATGCGCCCATCGACAAGGCGGCTGACGCACGCGACGGGAAGTCATAGCCACGGAGGCCGTAGCCATGGTGCCCAGTCAGGGGCGTACGACCGGGAAAGTACACCACCCGCAGGGAGGGTGCTGGAAAGGGCGGAACCCCCGGGGGGGGGGGGGGGGGGGGGGGGGCGGCACGGGCGGGCAGGGACATGTCAATCGGAGGCGCGCAAGGGATCCGGCAGCATCAACTCACGAACGAGGCCTCGCGGGGCAGCGCACAGCCCAGAAACCGCTGGAGGTCCGGCAGATCGCGCCGGAAGCGTCGCACAGCCTCCAGATCCTCCTCCGTCCAGCTGGCGGCAAAGCACCTCAACGATGCGTGGAAGTCGGGGTCCTGGGGGAAATCCCGCCGGTGGGGGCGGTCAGAAGTGTCTCTGATGATCGAGGGCATTTGGCCGGGGGGGAGGGAGAGGGGGGGAAGGAAGAACTCCGAGGCAGACCGACAAAAGGAGGCTGAGTCAGCCAAGTGAAGAGACAGAGGGAAAGAGAGAGAGAGAGAGAGAGAGAGGGAGTAGGATAGGAAAGGGCACGCGCGAGGTGCCAGTCAGTCGGCTATGGCCATCCATGCCGGTGGGGCTGCCTGACCAACGCCCCTTAAAAAGGGGGGATATGTCGCCGGCCAGCAGCCTGTGGTGGCTGCCTCACGTCGGGCAGGGACACATCCATGCGACCACCTTGAAGGGCGAGAGCCCCCCTCACCCGTGTTGCGCTGGTGTTGCGCCAACTGCGCATGGGTGCAACTCACCGGGCGCCAAGGCTGCCCTGGCTCGGGGGACCGATGCTCCCGCGGGTGTAGTGGCGTGGCGGCATGGCCTCCGTGCGGGGGAGGGCGTGACGCAGCCCGGCCCGGCTGCCATAGGCACCTCTCAGCCCCTGCTCATCCCGGGTGTCTTGCGGGCCCGCTCCAGATGTGACGACACAACCGCCCCTCCCGCCCCCCCCCCCCCCCCCCCCCCCCCCCCCCCCCCCCCCCCCCCCCCCCCCCCCCCCCCCCCCCCCCCCCCCCCCCCCCCCCCCCCCCCCCCCCCCCCCGGGTTTCTTGGGGGCCCCCCCCGAGTGGGCCCCCCCCCCCCCCCCCCCCCCCCCCCCCCCCCCCCCGCCCCGCCCCGCCCCGCCCCCCCCCCCTCCCATCCCCTGCCCGAGCCCCTTGCCGACTCTCCGGATGTGACCCCTTCAACTGGACCCAAAGCAGTCGGCCTCAGTGGTAGGGTACTTTCTGTTATTGATCCAGACCGCATAGACAGTGTGGGCAGGGAAGATCCCGATGATGGCCCGTCACTCGACGAGCATCTGGCGGGATTCTTTGATCTCTGACCGGCGGCGCTTCTCACTCAGCCGGCGCTCATTGTAGTCGCGAGCCCTATCGCGCGCGCGAGGACAAGCCGTTCCCGTGCGGAGGGGCGAAGAGAGAGTGCGAGGCGGAGACAGGCAGGCAGGCAGGCAGGCAGGCAGGAGTGCGTGGCGGCGGCGAAGGGGAAACCCGCAGAGACCAAGAACGGAGGCCGAGCATCAGACGGGGGTTAGTGTCGCCGGAGGAAGAGAGGCCTGGCGATGAAATGCATGCATGGAATGGAGCCCTCAAAGGGAGTCCGCACAGGGCGATGATCCTCTCCTGCCGGGGGGTGGGAGCCGGCCCAGGCAGGGCGGCCGCCGCACGGAGGAGAAGCTCAAACTGCCGTACACACGCCTCATAGTTGGAATACTGCAACATGAAGGCGTCCGATCGGAAGACCACCTCACCATGCTCATTGAGCCGGCCGGCTGCCTGGGAGGGGGAAGCACAACAGTCAGAGCAAGAAAAAGAAAGGCAACAAAAGAAGAGCATGACCTGTGAGCCGTGTGCCAGCCACCGGGAGGAGCAAGCACCGCGCCGTACCATGTGCTGGAGGTTGTGCCGGACATACTTCGGCAGCCGGGGGCCCACATCCAGCGGCAGGCGCACCTCGACTTTGGTGTAATCTACTCGGACGGGAAGGAAGAGAAAGAAAAAAAAAACCCCAGCAACATGCGGACGCGAGGGCATGGGTGAGAGTCGGACACAGGGGCAAGGGCCGGGAGGAGGGGGTCCCGGCGGCGGGAGGGCCAGGCGAAAGCAGAGAAGCCCGGGGACCCAGGCAGCCGGCATGCGGACGCACGTCTGGGGACCGATTTTCCACGCGGGCCGAAGCGTGTCTGCTCCACATCGGGCATGCGCCCGGGGAAGTACCTGACCTTGAAGTAGTCTTGTAGATGCGACAAAGGGCAAGGGAAATGCCGCAAACACATGTCAGAGCAGGGCCCGGCGGAGGGGCGGGGAGCCGGAAAAGCGCCAGAAGGCCGCGGGCAGCCGGCTGGAAGGGCACTCGACGCACACTCGAACGCGAAGAGGATCCTCAAATTGTCGACATCAAACTGCCGCGCGTCCTCAAGATCGGCCTCCGACCAAAGTGTCTCGGAGGGCAGGAGCTCTTTGCCGGCCTGGAGGCCAGGGGCCAGGCGACCGGCTGCCGCGGGCTGCGCAGGAACACGACGTCCAATGGCTTTGGCCATGCTCGGAGGGCACCAATCAACCGAAAGTGCGTAGTCACGAGGGAAAAGGAGGAAAGGCAGGCAGACGGGAGGTGAGAGCGGGGGGGGGGGGGG